TAGTTGCTCCTTTTAGTGTCCTTAGCTGCTGTTTCCTCATCTTGATCGCTAAATATTTGGGTGTCCCTCAGTCCTTAGACTTCTTTTATCTCTACCTACTTCCTAGGTGATTTCCTCTTGCCCCATGGCTTGAAATCCCATTAGTCTCCTGACTCCAAGTTTATACATCCAGCCTGGGCCTGTCCTCCAGATCCAGCTGCCTAAACATCTCTGCTTGGTCTCTAGTAGGCATCTCAAACATGACCAAACTCGTGCACCCCACCCCCTGGCAAAACCCGACCTCCCTGTGGTCTTTGTCACCTCCATAACTGCTAATTCCATTCTTCCACTTGCAAGCACATCTGAGCTGTCTCTCTTTCACACAGTGTCGGCAAAATCTTCAGAAAAGATCCTGAGACGAACCACTTCTCACCGCTTTTGCTGCTGCGAGCCACCAGCATCTATTTTCCCTCTCATTGATTGCTGTGGCCTCTTTAACTGCTTTCTCTCTCGTCCCCCCAAATTGTTAGTCGCTTTATTAGACCTGCTTTTTCAAAAGCATTCCAACTCTTTGCCACATGACAAGCATCCAGCATGGGCCTTTAACACTTAACTCCTGTCACTTCTCTGCTCTCTCCCTGGGAGTTAGTGCCCAAGTCGCAGAAGGGGCTTGGAGGCCCTCTGGCCTTCCTCCTGCCCCTCTTACCCCCTGCTCTGCTCCAGCCACACTGGGCTCTGTGCTGGTCCTCGGACACACCAGCTGCTTTGCTCCCTCGGCTTTGTACTTGCTCTTTGCCTGGTGCTCGCTCCTCAGTGCTGCCCCGCTTTTCCCCAGGCCCGCCCTGGCTCCACCTGAAACACTCCCGCCACTTAGAAACCGCTTCATTTTCTCCAGGGTGCTGGCATTTATTTGTTCGTTTGTTGCTTCCCAGAGCTTTCTTCGTTAGAATAAGGCACAGGTGAGGGTGAGAAACATTTGCTGTATCCTCAGTGCCTGGAATAGTGTCTGGAATGTAGTAGATGTCTAATAATTTTCATGATTTTTTTTTTTTTTTTTGCGGTATGCGGGCCTCTCACTGCTGCGGCCTTTCCTGTTGGGGAGCACAGGCTCCGGACGCGCAGGCTCAGCGGCCATGGCTTACGGGCCCAGCCGCTCCGCGGCATGTGGGATCTTCCCGGACGGGGGCACGAACCTGTGTCCCCTGCATCAGCAGGCAGACTCTCAACCACGGCGCCACCAGGAAAGCCCTCGTGATATTTTTATATTGGGAAATCAGATCAGAGAAAGATTTGTAGCTGTTAGGCCATTTAAGGAGTCGCCAGTACTCCTTTCTTGAAAATTGTTTTTCTGCCAATTTTGGAATAAATTTGAGGTAATTTTAACTTCTAGATATAGTCAGTGGCCAGTTAGCTCGGATACGTCCACCAAGCCATGACCATGGTAGCGTTTCCATGTGAGCCAGCTGGGTTCCAAGCCAGAGAGACTGCACCCTTGCTCTGTTGGGAGGGGGGAGCTCTGGGGGAGCCACCCAATGTCTTCAGCTCCTGTTTCTCCTCCTAAAATATCCACTTGTGTTAGCTTGTGAAATTCCGTCTCCACCTTTAATGTGTAAGTGTTCTTCCAGCTCATAGCCTTACGGGAATGATCATGCCAACAGCAGATCCTGCACTCACGAGGGCAGAACAAACAGTGACCTGACGATGAGTAGAGTGTATGTTCGTTTTGAGCTAAAAGTTTATAAATAGCCCCCAATTTCTGATAGCTTTACTAGAACTGCTTTTACAAAATACTCATTGTGAGCTTAAGTCTTTTGCCTTAATGATAGCTGTTGTTATCTGGACGAGTGGAGAGTATTGGTGCCTCTGCTAGGATACATCCAGACATAACATACAGTGTGTTCATATTAGTGAAATTCAGCCATGTCTTGTGATTGACAGTGCTTGTTATGCTATGGTACCTTAAGTTCAAACAAAATAGTATCAGTTGACTGCAATATAAATGAGACCCAGGGTTAGGAATTTGCTCCATTTTGGATCATTAACCCACATTTAATTGAACTGATGTGTAAGTTAGAGTGGATCTCAGTCTGTGTTCCACACTGTGTTCTAGTACACAGTAGCTGGAGTATACTACTAAAATAATTTATTGGTGAACTTTTCCAAATTCTTGGTAAAACTTAGGTTGATAGGTATAATTTCCTCAAATTAAAAATTTTTATTCCATACTTCTTAAAATTTTGGTATTTGCTCTTTGCCCTAACAGACGAACAAATGAATGAATAAGTAACTTAGAACGATAGTTCTGACACTGGAAAACTAGTGTCAGAATCACCTGGAGGGCTTATTAAAACACAGATTGCTGGGCCTTTTCCCAGGCTTTCCACTTTTTATCTCTGAGTAGGAAGCTTGGTTGCGACTTAAGGATTCTCTGGAGAGGTGACTTGCTCTTTCTTTTGTCTCTTAATTCTGTCTAAAGCCACATTACTCTTTTCTATTCCGTATAGTTACATTTTATGTGTTAATCATTGAGGAGTATTAGGGCTCCACAGAGTCTTAAAAACACATTCTTCCATCATTATCTATAAGTTGTATGTTATATGTGGGCGTTCTTGAGATGAATTTCCTAAAGGACCCAAAGCACTTTACCACCTTCTTGTTCTTTTTCTCTGGAGGTGCAGAGTCGGGGGTGAACCAGAAAGCATAATGGCAGGTAGTAGGGAGGTTGATGGCGGTGATGGCTGATTCCTGCCATGTCTTTCCTGTGCCAGAGCTGCTCCAGCCGCCTGTGACAGCACGAGCATCTTGAGGAAGAAGAGAATTTGAAGAGGTCAGGTTATAATTTATAGTTTAAAAAAAGTACAAAAGTGGCAGCTCCTTTGAGGTGGTTTAGACCACAACCTAATTTATTTATTCTTTCGTAAGTTGAGTGCCTTTGATCTGCTTTGTGCTGTACTAGAGAAAAGAAAAATAAGTTCCTGACCTCCGGAGCTCTCAGTCCATTAAGGAGGCAGACAGGCCTTCACTATATGGTGACATAAGGGCTTTTACCCAGGTTTTTTTTTTTTTTGGCTGTGTTGGATCTTCGTTGCTATACGTGGGCTTTCTCTAGTTGCAGCGAGCGGGGGCTACTCTTCGTTGCGGTGCACAGGCTTCTCATTGTGGTGGCTTCTCTTGTTGCGGAGCACGGGCTCTTGGCACACGGGCTTCAGTAGTTGTGGCACGCAGGCTCTAGAGCACAGGCTCAGTAGTTGTGGCACACGGGCTTAGTTGCTCCACGGCATGTGGGATCTTCCCGGACCAGGGCTCGAACCCGTGTCCCCTACATTGGCAGGTGGATTCTTAACCACTGTGCCACCAGGGAAGTCCCTCACCCAGTTTTATAGTAGGGGTGTCCACCTGGATTTGGCAGTGAGGGTCAAGGAAGACTTCCTGGAACATGAAGGAATTAGCCAATCAAAATGACAGGTTGTCTAAGTATAAATATAAGATATATAAATATAAGATATTTGATCATCAATAGGGGGTCTTCTGTTTAATTTGGTAAAGTATTAGTTGAAAAATATTTAGCTTAGAACTGATGTATCAATATTTTACTTGCCCTTTCCTATTATTTAAGTAGCAGCATTTTTCTGGGTTTAGTGAAACCTACAAGAAGAATCAAAAGATAGGCACAATAAAAGTTGAATACTAATTGAATTTTAATAGTGAAGGAACCAAGAGAAAATTACATGTTCGAGAACAATTGTAAAAGTATCCTTAATATGGATCAGCTGTTGTTCACGTTTTTGCCTAAGCATGTTGCTCTCACCCACATTTTACCTCACTGTGAATTCACACAGAATTCCTGTGACATGAAAGAGACTGGAGGTCAAGTAAAAATTAATATTTTGTATTTGTGTTGGGCATCATTAAAGGCATCTCCAGGTGTACATTTCTGGGAGTACTTCAGAATAATTTATCATGTGTACTTTTCTGTGTGTTTGGAAAAAGTGAGGGAAAATGAGCTCTGTCTGGTGTGGTGAGATGAGAGGCCCTTGGGCAGCAACGCCTGGTTCTCCTCTGGCTGCGGCTGCAGGCTGATTGTGTGGCATTGGGCGTGCTGCCTCAGCTCCATCTGCAAATTGGAAGAGTTATGCTAGAATCTTAGAGTTCCTTTAGCTCTCAAGTTCTGTTTTTACACTTTCTTATCCTAGAGCCTTTTTAGTCTGACTTACACTAAAGCATAATTCCGTAATGAGGTGATGTCATGGACATCCTTTCTCATTCCATTACCAACACATGTAATCTATTATACCTTCACTTCCGAAGGTCCTTATAAATTACAAACATTTCTCACTATCCAAGACATTTTGTTCCCAATTCAGCTAATTAAAATTCAGATAGTGAGGGATACCACTATATTAGCAAATACAATAATCTCAATTTTTGTTGCCATCGTAAAGGAATGCTAAGGCAGGTATTTCATGACGGGCAATACTTTGATATTCGAATGTTGGTCCCTTAAATATCCTGAATCCTGACTTCAGACTAACAGCAACAAAAGGATGTTACAAAGCTGTTGTGGACAAAGCTTAACTGAGATGCCTTTTCTTCAGCTCCTCAGAAGAGAAGAGAGAACTTCCTTGTTTCCTCACAGAGTTAATAGAATGTTACCAAAACGTGTAATTTGAGCAGGTTATTGAGCTATATACCTAGGTATCAGGGTAATAAGAAGCAAAGATGATTCTTACTGGCAACTGAAAGAGATAAATATTTATTGAGTACTTACTAGTTACCCGTCGCTCTTCAAAGCACAAGCAATGAGCAAGGCAGAACGAGTCCCTCCTCATTCTGGGGGCACCGTAGACCTCAGCGTGACGTGGGATGGAGGGGGAGCCAAGGTAGTCTGTGAAGAGCGGAAACACTAATTGCTAAGTTACTTTGAATACTCTGAAAATGTCTCAGGGGTCTGTGTAGCATATGGTCTTTTATGTATTTACCTCCCCATTTTGTTTTGTTTTTTCATGTTTTGTTTCTGTTAGGAGAGAACATTGAAATTATTCTCTAAGCTATTTGAAGAGAGTGACTAAATGCACCTGGGTCAGGCTGTCTGTGGGTATGAAGTGGTTGGGAGAATCCAAGAACATGGTGTTGAATGGCAGGAGAAATGGAGGCAAGTTGTCTAATGACCATCAGCAGAATCAATCAAAATTACAGCACACGGGAAAGGACACCGTGAAGGCTGGCAAGAACGCAGCCGAGAGGAGGTCAAGCAGATGTATGTACATACTTCAACTGTCACTCTTTTGATTGTGATATGGGGCAGTAATTCTTTCCACTTTGTAATGTGTATTCTGTTCTCTGTTGTTTTCAAAACAATTTTTTTATGTTCTCACAGTTAACAGTATAGTTTTTTTTACTCTTTCAAAGTTATATCAACTTTTATTCTCATCAAACATTGTATACAACTCAAGTTTAATTCTTAATATAATGTTTTTATATGCATAACTTTATATTTTGTAGAATATATAACTGAATGGTTATTTGTTCTATTAAAAATATTAAAGTACTGCTATTAAATTTCTTTTAAGTTCAAACTGTGTTTTTTTATATTTGATGTAAGTTTAAGTATGTATTTTTTTAAAAACTTACAGAGCAATATGAATGATAAAGTCAACCCTAATTTACATGATAAGTGGAAGTTAGGGCAGCTTTTCAAATTGTCGCCATTTCTTCTATTTATATAGGGTGAACAGTTTATCCTAACAGAGAAGAAGTATTGATAATGAGTTACTTTTTTACCTCTACTTACTGAGAGTTCAAGAAAGTGTAGATTTGATACATGTTTCATAGTTCTTTTAAGAGTAGTAAAATGCCCCAGGATAAGTGTAAGCTAAGTAGGCAGCTATATAAATATTGTCCAAAATTAGATGGCCATGTTAAGGACAACTTTTTCTTCCTTCCTTCCTTCCTTCCTTCCTTCCTTCCTTTCTTTGTCTGCACCATGCGGCTTGCAGGATCTTAGTTCCCCGATCAGGGATTGAACCCGCTCCCTTGGCGGTGAGAGCGCGGAGTCCTAACCACTGGACCACCAGGGAAGTCCCAGACAACTTTTTATATTTCTTCTTTTCCTAAGGTTAATTTAGCCACAACTAAATAGCCTTAGTTTGTGTTGGAATTGGCCTACTTCCGGTAGATTTGGATTGATTAGCCTGGCATTTGCTACAGTTTCAGATAGAGTGCACCAGTTCTGATCTCATTTCCTTCTTACCTTTTATGGGTCTATGCTATTCACTGGGCCCAGGCTGCCCTTAACTTTTCCATATCAGATCAGGTCACTGTTTCTGTTTAAAAAAACCAAAAAACAAACAAACCAAATAAACTAGACGATATCCCTGCTTGGGATAGGGGTAAGGAGAGAGCCCAAGACTGATGGGTTTGCCTCTACCTGGACACCTCCTCACCCCCTTAGCGTGTGGTGGGAACCTGAAGGAACTGAGAAATGTAGTGATTATGGCAGTGGTATTGGCTCTGGTCAGTAAATTAGGCATCTCTTAAATCTTTTTTTTTTTTTTTTTCCAAATTGCTGTTGGCCTCCTTTTTGGGCATCAGTGCAAAAAGGTCTTAATTAGTTTGGTTGTTGGAGGTACATAAGAATTTTGAAAATGACCATTACATGAGCTACACTTCGCCAAGTGTAGACAGATTTGGAGGGATGGGTTGGAAAAACCCAGAGAGTGTGAAGATGAACAGCATCACATTGAATATTATTGGGCACAAATGGTGCAAAAATAGAGCCAATGATGAAGAGAAACAAAGCATTGCATCACCTTAGATAAACTGCAACGACTTCACCTAACATCAGAGCCGCAGAGTACATGAAGCAAAAATTCACAAAATTGAAGGGAGAAATCTTAGATAATTCAACAATAATTTGGAGACTTCAGTTCCCCACTTCCAATAATGGATAGAACAGCTAAGCAGAAAATCAAGAAGGAAAGAAGACTCAAATAGTCCTATACCAACTCTTCCTAACAGACATCTATAGAACACAGCAGAATACACATTCTTTTCAAGAGCCATGAAACATTATTCAGAATGGACCATAGACTAGGCCATACTTTAAGCCCCTCAATCAATGTAAAAGGATTGAAATCATACAATATATGTTCCGACCACAATGGAGTAAAATTAGAAATGAATAACAGAAATTTGGGAAACACAAATATGTGGAAATTAACTCACTCCTGAATAACCAGTGGGTTAAAGACAAAATCAAAAGGGAAATGAAGAAAGATCTCAATCAATAACTTTTCACCTTAAAACACCAGAAAAAGAGAGAGAGAGCAAACTAAGCCCAAAGTAAGCAGAAGGAAGGAAATAACAGAGTAGAAATTAACAAAATAGAGAATAGAAAGAGAATAGAGAAAATCAGCAAAGCTAAAAAGTTGGTTCTTTGAAAAGATCAACAAGAACTGGCAAACCCTTAAGCAAGACTGATTAGGAAAGAAAGACTCAAGAATCAACCTGGAAAGAGGAGACATTACTAGACTGCCTTAGAAAAATAAAAAGGATTGTAACAGAATACTATGGACAACTGTATACCAAGAAGTTAAGTAACTTAGATTAAGTGAACAAATTTCTAGAAAGTAATAAATTACTGAAACCGATTTAATAAATCTTATTTATACAAAATCTGAATAAACCTATAGCAAGTAAAAAAGATTGAATTAGTAGCTTTAAAAACAAAGCAAAAAAAACACTACCTACAAAGAAAAGGCCAATATTATCCTGCTACCAAAACCAAAGACATCATAAGAGAAGAAGACCTATAGACCAATATCTCTAATAAATATAGATGCAAAAATCCTCAATAAAATACTAGTCAACCAAATCCAGCAACAGATGAAAAGAATTCTATAGCATGCCCAAGTGGGATTTATCCCAGGAATGCAAGTTTGGTTTAATATCTGAGAAGCAATTGATATAATACCATATGAGTACAATCAAGGACAAAAACCATACTGTCATCCCAATAGATGCAGAAAAAGCACTTGACAAAATCCAACACCCTTTCAGGATAAAAACAGCAAACTAGGAACAGAAGGGAATTCTTCAACCTGATAAAGCTTAATGTCATATTTAATGGTGAATGGTTTCCCCTAAGATCAGGAACAAGACAGAACTATATTTGTTCTCACCACTTCTATTCAGCATTGTACTAGAAGTTCTGATTACAACCATTAGGTGAGAAAATGAACTTAGAGGCGTCCAAATTGGAAAAGAAGTAGTAAAACAATATTTGCAGGTGACATGATTGTGTATATAGAAAATCCTAAGGAATCCACTAAAATATTAGAATAAATGAGTTCAGTAAGGTTGGAGGATACAAGTATACAAAAATCAATTGTATATCTATGCACTTTCAGTAAACAATCCAAAAATGAAATTAACAATTTCGTTTACAGGGCATCAAAAAGAAAAAATATTTAGCAATAAATTTAACAATAAAGTATAAAACTTAAACTCTGAAAATGATAAAACATTGTTGAAAGAAATTAAAAGAAGATCTAAACAAATGGAAAGGGCTTCCCTGGTGGCACAGTGGTTAAGAATCTGTCTGCCAATGCAGGGGACATGGGTTCGAGCCCTGGTCTGGGAAGATCGCACATGCTGCGGAGAAACTGAGCCCTTGTGCCACAACTACTGAGCCTGCGCTCCAGAGCCCGTGAGCCACAACTACTGAAGCCCACGCGCCTAGAGCCAGTGCTCCGCGACAAGAGAAGCCACCGCAATGAGAAGCCCACGCACCGCAGCGAAGAGTAGCCCCCGCTGCCGCAGCTAGAGAAAGCCCTCGTGCAGTAACGGAGACCCAACACAGCCAAAAATAAATAAAAAATACATAAATGGAAAGAAAAATAAATAAATGGAAAGACATCCCATGTTCATTGATTAGACAACTTAATATCGTTAAGATGGTAATACTCCCCAAATGACCTGCCTATTGAATGTAGTCCCTATCAAAATCTCCGCTGGCTTCTTTGCAGAAATTGACAGGCTGATCCTAAAATTCTTATGGAAATTCAGGGGATCCAGAATAGCTAAAACAGTCTTGAAAAAGAACAATGTGGAAGGTTCATACTTCTCGGTTCCAAAGCTTACTACAAAGCTGCAGTAATCAAGACAGTCTTATACTTGCATGTGGGTAGATATATATTCGTGGAATAGAATTGAGAATCCAGAAAGAACCCTCATGTTTGTAGTCAACTGATTTTTGACAAAAGTGCCAATAAAATTGAGGAAAGAATAGTCTTTTCAACAGTTGGGGTTGGCAAAACTGTATATCCACATGCAAAATAATGAAATTGGATCCGACCTCACACTGTATGTAAAAAACTCAAAATGGGGCTTCCCTGGTGGCACAGTGGTTGACAGTCCGCCTGCCGATGCAGGGGACACGGGTTCGTGCCCCGGTCCGGGAAGATCCCACATGCTGCAGCGCGGCTGGGCCCATGAGTCATGGCCGCTGAGCCTGCACGTCCGGAGCCTGTGCTCCACAACAGGAGAGACCACAACAGTGAGATGCCCACGTACCGCAAAAAAAAACACCTCAAAATGGATCAAAGACCTAAATTAAAAGCTTATAAAACTCTCCAGAAGAAAACATACGCATAAATTTTCATAACTTTGGATTAGGCAGTGGTTTCTTGGATATGACACTAAAAGCACAGGGAACAGAAGAAAAAAAAAAAAGTACATGAAATTTACCAAAGTTGCAAACTTTAAGCGTTACCATCAAGAACGTGGAAAGACAGCTTACAGAACAGGAGAAAATATTTTCAAATCACATATCTGATAAAGAACTAGTATCCAGAATAAAGAACTCTTTACAAGTCAATAATAAAAGACAAACTCCAGGGCTTCCCTGGTGCAGGGCACAGTGGTTGAGAGTCCGCCTGCCGATGCAGGGGACACGGGTTCATGCCCCGGTCCGGGAAGATCCCACATGCCGCAGAGCGGCTGGGCCCGTGAGCCATGGCCACTTAGCCTGCGCGCCCGGAGCCTGTGCTCCACAACGGGAGAGGCCACAACAGTGAGAGGCCCGCGTACCGCAAAAAAAAACCCCACAAAACTCCCATTTTTAAATGCGCAAGGGATCTGAATAGACACATTTCTCCAGAGATAGACAAATGGCCAATACATGAAAAGATGCTCAAAATCATTAGTCATCAGAGAAAATCAAATCAAAACCACCACTTCACAATCACTAGAATGTCTGAAATCAAAAGGACAAATAGTAACAAGTGTTGGTGATGATGTGGAGAATTTACATACACTATTTTTTGGGAACATAAAATGGTGCAGCCAAATGTGGTCTATCCACACAGTGGAATATTATTTGGCCATAATAAGGAATGAAGTACTGCTGCATGGTACAACGTGGATGAACCTTGAAAACATGCTAATTGAAAGAAGCCAGTCACAAAAAAACACGTATGATTCCATCTATATGAAATTTTCAGACTAGGCAAATCCCTAGAAACAGAGTAGATTAGTGGTTGCCAGGGTCTGTGGGGGAGGGAGAAATGGATAATAACTTCCAGTAGGTATGAAGTTTCTTTTGGGGGGATGAACATGTGCCAGAATTGATTGTGGTGATGGTTACACAATCCTGTGAATGCACTTAAAACCATGGAATTGTACACTTTAAATGGGTGAACTGTATGGTATGTGAATTAAGTGTTAATAAAGCTGGTATAGAAAATATAACAACTTTGATAGTTTTATACATACCTACATGCAAATAATTTGATTCAAAATCATATACTGACCCTTTGGCAGGGACTTAGACATGTGTTTTATTTCTTTATTGGAACAGTGGGTGAAAAGGTTAGACGTCTCACTTTGTCACTCATTCTTCCACCTCTTAATTTTGAGAGGCTTAAAGTTATACTGCTGGTATCCTCTGTAATTGCATGTGCTGACTCCACGAAGACCCTCAGTGACGTATACATCAAACGTGAATCAGCACTGATGAAACTTCATCCATACAAATTTGGCCTTGCTTTCCTCTCTTTACATTGTTTTCCTTCCACAGTTAAACCCAGTTCCTTCAGTTATCTTTTTCAGTCACTTCCCTATTTTTATCCATTCCTTCAAAATCTGGTTCAAACAGGTGTTAGAAATAGGCCTGTCAGACTCTCTCTACTTCTCTCCCCTCTTCTCCTGCCTGGCTGTGTAATCACAGGCAAGTTTCTTAACCTCTGGGCCTGAGTTGCCAGCAAAGTGGGGATGATAATCACACGTCTGCCCACAAGCAGGAAGTGGAAGGTAATGCCTGGAGGCTCCGTTTTGGTTCCTGAGATTTAGCCTTCTGGCGCTTACTGCAGAGGGTATCTCGTGTTCCTCTTGTTTCCTTCTCATGCCAGCCCTGTCTGTAGCGGCCCTTTGTGCTGTCTTGCTACTGTGATGAACATCTGCCCATCTCCTGTGTCTCAACTCTTCCTTGGAGACGCAAGTAAGGCATCTGAGTCAGATTCTCACAACTATCCAGACCCCGTTCTTGGGAAACCTGATAATATTATCTAACAAAAATGCTCTCAATAACTCGGTTAATTTACTGCATTTGGTTTTCTGTTTTTGCAAAGGGTACTCAATTCTTAATTAGTAAAACTGATAGAAATAAGCAATTTCAATTCTTAATTACTAACTTGAATGGGCAGTGAAGCTAAAGGTTTTTAAGGTAGATTTAAGTAGTACTCAGTGCGAGTTAATTTTTCTTCTTTTTTCTTCTCACAGGTAATGGTAATGCAGGATTCGAAGGACAGAGTCGATATGTACCATCTTCTGGAATGTCTGCCAAGGAACTCTGTGAAAATGATGACTTAGCAACCAGTTTGGTTCTTGATCCCTATTTAGGTTTTCAAACACACAAAATGAATACTAGGTAATTTTGTCTTTATCCTGAGTGGAACAGATGATATCGTTGAACTTAAGAAAATAGATGGCTAATTTTACTTTCAGTCAAAATTTAAAATGACATTAAAGGAAAGATTTTGCTGCAGGAGGATTTTCCATGTGTGAGTCAAGAAAAGCAACATAAGCTTCCATGAGTTGTCAGTTTTAATTCCGTGTTCTTATTTTATCTTGGGATACTTCTATTAAAATACAGAGTTGGAGAGGCATCTCCATATTCTGTTTTAAATGTTGATGAGAATTACCTGAAAGAAATATGCATCCTGTAAAACCTTGAAAATGTGTATGATTTTTTTTCTACCTAAATTAGGTTGCATCAGTTTTTTTCATGATTTTATTACAAACTTTTATTCTTTCAAATACTTTCCACTGTATATAGGGAATTTTACCATTATGTTTTTTTTAACATCTTTATTGGAGTATAATTGCTTTACAATGGTGTGTTAGTTTCTGCTTTATAACAAAATGAATCAGCTATACATATACATATGTTCCCATATCTCTTCCCTCTTGCATCTCCCTCCCTCCCACCCTCCCTATCCCATTTTTGCCATTATGTTTTATCTTTGAGACTCAGCTAGTCATTATAAGTTAGAGTGAATATTTTTAAAGACATGGTTATATTCAGTATGCAGGTAAGAAAATAGATGTGTAACCACTTTATTGAGTATCAAATGCCATCTATATAAAATACTACATAGCTCTTGAAATCTGTGACCCTTTAAATTTCTTTATTCTAATTCTCTTAAACATCATCTCGCTCCCAAAAAGGCCTTTAGGTAATTTCATAATTAACTGCCGCCAAGCACTAAATCAGAACGTTACAACTTTGTGTTGCCTCTTAACTTCCATGGCAAAGGCTTTCGAGTGATAGAAAAGCCTAACATCAGGGATTTAGAACGTGGAACAGGTTCTGGACCACTGTTCACTCTTACCGTAGCTGCAGTGTCAGTGACTGCCCTAGAGGCGCTTGATCACCACAGGGGTGGTCACCAGTAATTAATTGGGGGCAGGTGATTAGAGGAAAATTGTGTGTCTGTTTTTTCCTATTTTAATTCTGTCCCTTGCTAGAATTAAAACAAGATAATTCATTTATCAATTATAGTCTAAATCCCAAAAGAAGTAATTCAGGTTAAAATGTGCCTTTGGTATTTTCATGTAATTTCCTGTCATCATATATCTTTACTTACTAAAACGAAGTGAAAGTTGGGATGGACTTGAGAGATTATTTAAATAGTTCCCTGCCGTCAGAGGGGCACATACTTAAATTTTCTACATAGGCAAATGGATGGCTGTTCTCTGGAAAATCAGCAGAATTGGATGCTGTAGTGTCCAACTAAAAATCTAGTTTGCATTATTTTAAGCCCACATCCCCTATTTCCCAGTGAACCCAAGAGACCAGGGCTCATTCTCCTACTATTAGGGTCCTAATAGTATTTAACTCACCTGTTAGCCTTTTTTTCTCCGAGGTAAGAAATGTGATTCACTGTTTCACACAACAGTCTAGTGGCATTCAGAATATTACACAAAGGCCCATAATTACGGCCTGGAGTCATCATTGAAACAGATTCTGTTCGTTATGCCTTGTATACTGAAACATGGAAGCAAATAAACCATTTTTAAAAGTTTTCCATCAAAATTACAACAAAAGTTGTAGTGGCTTGGGAAAGAACTCCATGTATTCAGAAGCCCCCACGCTTTGACTATTCCAGAGGGTGAAGAGTTACCTGTTACTGGGTTCTGCGACAGTAAATAACTCATGTTTTCTAAAAAGTCCTCCTTGACAACTGCTTCTTTTAATTAGTTTACATATGAGTCACTTGGGGAATCTTGTTAAGATGCAGGTTCTGATTCAATAACTGTGAGGTGGGGCCTGAGAGTCTCCATTTCTAACGTGCTCCGAATTACAGTTGGGAAGCAAGGTCTTAAACCGTCTAGCCTACTGAGCTTTGTCCCGATGTGCTAAATGGATAGAAAGTTCCTTATCAGTCGTTTTCTAGGGCTCACTTTAAAACATGTAATCCTAAAATGTCAAGTTTAGGTTTACCACACAGATATTGTTAAAACTTAAGACCTTACCATATCCAGGTACCTCTAAATTCATATTTTCCAGTGCAACATTTAATCCTACTCAGACACTTCCTAAAATAGCCGTTCATGGTGTAGATAATGCTACTGCTCCCTGGTTAGACTACGTTGGCTTTGTAACAGTGTCGGCACTTAGGCCAGTGCGGTTGAGCAGTTGATGTTGCTGTGTCAAAGCAAGGTGTGCTCTCCGCCTTTCAGCAGAGGCATTCATTCCAGAGGTATTTTAACAGACTCTCGTAAGCTGACGTTTGGGGAATATACAGAGTTTTTATTAATGAAGCTTGTTAATCTTAATGAAAGGTATATACATTTTCATTAAACTTAGTGGATTTATTTGAAAATTATCACTTATAGTTCTTTATCTTCTGAGCAAGAATTTACCAGAATGTCACTTACCCCATTTTCAAAGATATTTTATAGACAATACGGAAAATCTATAGTGCTTTATTTGAATAACCATAAATATTTCTTAAATTATTAGCTTTTTGTGGACTTCTCTTTCTTTGGGGTGCAAAAGAAGTGACTGGAGGACGTGATTGGAGCTTTGGGTTTTAATTCTCCAAACTGTCCGCCTGTTACTTATATAAGTGGTCTCTTTGTTCTCATGTTTATACATCTGTGATGTGAACTTAGTTTCTCTTTTTTTATGCCCTCCTCCTCTCTACTTATTTCAGTTGTACCTTCAGGAATACTGTTCAGAGACAGTAGATATTTAATTATTTGGCTATATTATGAATTGCCTATGTTTTTACTCTTAACGTATCCCTGTATTTACTAAGAAGGCAGTCAGAGTTGTGGCATGAATGCCTAGAAAAAGCATAAAGTATTAATTTCAGTTTATTGGGAAATGTTTCAATTTAGTTGACTTTTGTCAGTTATGAAACTTAAGTTCTTCCTTTTAACCAGAGAACAGAGTTGTTAGTAATACCTCTAATTTTTTTTAAAAAGCTAGTGGAGAGATGAATGTAGCGAAGCAGGAATGGATGCTTTCAGTAATGCGCCCTCGTTCGGGCTGCGTGACCAGCGATTTCATGGTATCCTGAGGAGCTGGGGGACATCACATTGTAAAGAAATGGGAAGAGTCCTCTCAGGGCACAGACTTCAAGTCCTTACTCATCCTTCCACTACTGTAACCATCTAATTTTTATTTTCCTTATTTATATATTTGATTATTCGTATCCACTGTTGAATATGAATTTATAAATCACTTTAAATGCCTCTTGAATATCAAGTGCTTGACTAGAAAGCATAAAGAAACTTTTCGACCTTCTAACTTAATATAATCAAGGGTAAAATGATGTTATGTGGGAAGGAAAGCGTTTTAGCTTCCTGGACTTTGTTATCATGCTAGGCCGACCCGTGTCTTCATAAAGTTCTTGAATATCACAGCATTTTAGGGATTTCTGCTACAACCAATATTGTAAGTCTGTTTAGAAATTACAAGTACAAATTATACAAATAGTTTTTTATTGTTGTTTGTTTTTGCATTTATATAGCGCCTTTCCTTCGAGGAGCTCAAGGCATTTTTCAAAATCTGACAGTTTTTCTCACAACAACCCTGTGAGGTAGGTAGAGAGCATTACAAACAGTAATAAGATACGAACTAACCTGTTTCAGCCTTTATAAATGTTCTTTTATGTTAAGTAATTGGAGGTGTCAGCGTAAACACGATTTTTAGAACATTTTGCAAACCTTTTAAACTAGTTTGGTCTTAGTAATAGCTGTATTTAAAAAACCACTTGTACTCCATAACAGGGTAATTTTAAGAGAAATCATCCAAAAATCAGGAGTCACTCCATGGGATTAGCTGAGCACTGATTGCAGGACTCAGCCAGGTATGTTTCTGGTTGCTGTTTATTTTCAGGTCAAGAAGGAATGAAGAGCTGTGGTCCTAGCATGACTCCTCCACTCGGCATCTACGATCTGTCAGTTCGCAGTTAATCTGTCTTCAAGGGGGAAATGTGTTCACGATGTTGACTCATGGTTTTATTTTATATCTTAAATATTTGAGCATTTTTCTCTCTCTTCCTCCCTCCTTCCCTTGCTCCCTTTTTTCTGTCCCCCCTCCTCTTTCCCCTCCCTCCAGTAGCTCTTGGTTGTACATGCTAATGGAAGGGCACGGTAGTGCAGCTAATACAAATCTGCAACTTTTCTTCATTGCCACAGTGGTCTCTTGGGTTTGGAAACAGAAAAACCAAATAGCAAGAAAACCTGGGAAGTCAGTCTCTGGAAAGAGTGGGGAACAGGTGTGTGGGAGTGTGAATTCATATGTTTTTTTCTGCCCCTTTTAGTAGTAAACAATTGTAAATGACATATTTTAAAATTTCTTATACCAGCCATTGATCAGAGAGGTGTGGAAAGAGAAAAATAAATGTTTGGTTTATTTAAAGTTGCACATGTTAAATATTAAGAGGGAAGAGGGGCACGTTGATGTGGAAATGCCGAATACCTGTTTCTCTTGCCTCCCCTGCCATCCCAGCCCACCCCAGCCCACCCACCCCCAGATAGTCAATTTGTTTCCACCCCTTTCATGGTGCTGTCAGGGTACCAGTCAGCGCTGTCTCTGGCCGAGCTCAGTGCTGGCACGCAGCGGTGAATACAAGTCAGACCCTGTTCTCATGACAGAACGACACAAGAGGGCTCTCGTGGTTCAGATAAGAGCGGGGCCGAGAAAGGCCTGGGTAACAGTCCCAGTCCTTCCAGCAGTTAGCCCTCATTGGGCCTTATTTTCCTCATTTATGGAACAAGAGATAATTTTTAGATAATCTAAATTTTCTCCTAGCTTTAGGAGTCATGGCGTAAGGATAGCTTTGTGCAATTCGTACGGGAGATTTAGAGTGATTGTGGTTAAGGAGAGGACAGAGCATGTTTTTCTATTCAGTAATAGAAAATTACTTTAATTTTTTCTAAGGTCCTCAGTGCCTTTTGCTCTGGCCCTAATAGTTGTAACAATCTTATGTTATTAAATAATTTTTATTTCCCCGCAGTTTTTGTTACAATGGGATTTGACTGGAACTGTCAGCCAGGTGATTTTGATGTTCTTCTATAGGGTTATCGAAAACAACTGTCTCTTCCCCTTCCCATCTGCACCCAGAACCATTTTCTTCCTCCTTTGCCTCACTATCATTTCACGCCTATAGCAGCCAACTGTGACAGTAAGTTTTGACAGTAAATTACATTTTAAGTAAAGTAGAGGTTCTTGCTTAGTGGGCAACAAGGGACAGTTTTGGGGGTTTGTGTTTGAGGCAGTAGAAGGCAGGAAAGCAGAAATAAAAGTCCCAGGATATGTGGAAGGCAGAATATTATTAACTCAAGAGTTGATTATTTTGTGTTGGTTTTAGCATATAAATTGTTTGGCATCATGAACAAAGAGTAAACAAAAGGATAGCTGAAAGGTATTTTTAGATAGGGAGGAAGTTTCAGGGAGCGGAGAGCACACGTAAAACCTGTCAGGAATAGCCAGTGTCCATTCCAGGTCTGTAACTTACTTTCTGCCATGTTCTTAAGATCTTCAGGTGAACTTAGTCCTGCCTCTTGCTCTCTAATGTGTCGAGCCATGCATTTACTTTACAAGTGGCACCGTTGGTCAGTCCCACGTTGAACATGTAAAGATTGCTTGGCTCCTGTCGTTTGCAGCCCCGTCCATCACTTAACATCATGGATTATTCATCGTATTTGCTCAAAGTGAACTACTGCTTTTCTGTTTACTGCGTAAAACTCCGGTTATCTGTTTCCCATCACTTTGTATTGCCTGGAGTGGTGTGCCTTAGCTAACAGCTGCTTGGTGGTCTTATCTGTCCTTCATTTGCAAATAACCCCGTGGTGTAGGGTTGCAGCCAGAAGGATTTAGACTGGGTTTCTTAGAGAAACCCAATCTTGACGAAATCACTTAATGATGGCTGCAAGTAAGTAGTTTAATCTTATAACTGTATGGACGTTTGTATACTTTCACAGTTCTGCAAATCTTTATGTTAGTGGTTCTCTGATACCATAGTCTGACAGCCTAATTAAAGACATTCGGAATTGTCTAAAGGACTTCCACTCGTCTGTCTGTGAGGGCTGGTGTGCTAACTGATTGAAACGGGAAATAAAACAGGGCATTGTCCATTTCTTCATATGATGTCTCTAGAACTCCTTCAGATTGTTCTATTAGTAGTGTTAAGAGCTTACTGAAACTGGAGTCTGCAGCTAGTAAGCTCCTAGAGGTGTCAGCATGCTCACACATCTGAAGGCCTCTAGAGATCCTGCCTAGTAAATTGTGTTACTGTCCTGTTCCTCACGTCTCCCCTCTTCCTCGTTTTAGAACTCTCCTTTACTGTTACTCGCCAGCTGACTCCCTCAGCTCCTGTCATCTCTGAATCAAGCCTTAAGATCCTCTGCTTAGAATTTCTCTCACTTTGTTTTCCTTCTTTTGATTTTCCTTCCTGCCTATAGTAATATTCTGCTTTTTCTTTAGAAATCTAAATTCACCACTTTCCTCACGGCCCATATCAAAGTCAACTCCAAACCGCCCCCTTCCCAAACAAACCTCACACCTTAGTTATAATTTCCATACTTCAGAGTGCTGCTGCAGTGTTGTTTGTACCACATGAACATGCACTTGCATATTGATGCCTTGCTTATCTGTTTGATGCATGCATATGGCTTTCGGTCCCAGCAAAATTTTACCTTCAAGAACAGTAGCCATGTCTTCTAGCTTACATTTTCCACCATAGCACATGTGTACACAGCACCTAATAAATAAATAAGCCTTGGTGAAATATTGTGGCTTAAAATCTTACTGAAATGTGATGAATACATTTGTGATAGCTTATTTGGAAAACAAAATACTGCTTGAATGCTTCCTTCGCTGGAGTCTATGCTAGATGTTATCTCAGTTTAGAATTCTCAGGTGTCTGCGATGTGCAGTTTTAGATGCTAGAGCAAGATTCATAGTTCAAATAGTTTTTCTCCTGAGACACTAATATTTTTTTCTTAATGTGTTTTATTTGAAGAACAGTCTGTAATTCCTTGTTTTGTTGGATGTTAATTTTTAAAAAACCTAACCTTATTTTGGAAAGTAGACCAAATGAAATCGACATGAGAAGAAATTTTGGAATTAAGATCCAAGTACCTTTAACCATATTACATGTTTTATTGAGAACATAGCTTCAAAATGAGTACAACTTAAGTTTTACTTGGGCCATGATTGTATCATGTGTTAATATGTGCATAGCCTCACTGTGATATTCTGTAGTCATTATAGCTGATTTTACATGGAAGCCTTCTAAAATTCTACCCCAACAGTTTTTCCTTCCATCACCACCACAACAGTATCACCGCTAGAGTTGTACTTTTGCACACTTTTTGTTCTCTGAACGCAGTTATCAAAGATTAATTTGACATGGATGTTGGAACATCAAGGTGTGTTTCAAGACCTGTTGGGATGCTTAGTTTGGGGTTTTTCTAACTATGTACATAGAGGATGTTTTTGTTTATGGCATGATTTTGTTTGCTTCATCCTTCTTCTGAAGCTTATTGCCTTGCACTCTTCTGGCTTGATTCTGCATGTTTTAAAAAATTCTTGTCATTCTAACTCAATTAGATGAGCTCTATTCTAGATCTATTGTTTTGTACCTCCCAAAGTAGATGACTAGTTATAAAAGCCTGAATCAGACAGCTTTCATTTGAATCACCTGGTCACCTCTCAGTTAATGAGCTAACTGAAATAAAAATATTAAAGTATAGTTTGAAGAAAGAGAAATTATAACTCCTGGTGATCAATATTACTTTAGTAATAATCATCAAGATTACTTATTATTACTCTTCTGTTAGGTCTGGCTGTTTTTAGGTTACTTTTTTCTCAAGGTCTCTTAAGCAGTGGCCCAAGGATGATGGAAGATAACTAAAGTTATTGTTCTGATTTCTTTCAGATTTCGGCCTATTAAAGGAAGACAAGAAGAACTAAAGGAAGTAATTGAACGTTTCAAGAAAGATGAGCACTTGGAGAAAGCCTTCAAATGTCTGACCTCAGGAGAGTGGGCGCGGCACTATTTTCTCAACAAGAGCAAAACGCAGGAGAGATTGTTCAAGGAGCACGTGAGCTCATTAACCAAATTAGTACTGTTTATCTGTTTGCATGAGCCTAAATTGTAGGGAACACTGAAATTTTAAATGAAATTTTCATAAAACTAATCAATATGAAGACCTAATAACACATCAGATAACTTGTGTGATTATCCATAGAGAAAACTCTGTCATCCAGAAGGGAAACTTACTGTGAACTTTTAGAGTAACATAGCCAAGTCACCAGGTACACAAGTATGGGAAATTTTAAAATAACAAAATTTGTTACTTAATCTTAAATTTTTTCATTGTTGGTGGTGGTTTGCTTTTATAATTCTGAGGAAGTCTAGCAAGATAAATAATGTAAAGTAGGTGTCACTTTTTTTTTTCTGTTTTAGGTATTTATTTACTTGCGAATGTTTGCAACCGACAGTGGATTTGAAATATTGCCTTGTAATAGATATTCATCGGAACAAAATGGAGCCAAAATTGTTGCAACAAAAGAGTGGTAACTATTATACTAGTATAAACCTGTAAAGTAATTTTGTTTACAGTTCTCTCTTAAATTACTGTTCATGTGCTAAGAAAGTTGTAGGAAGGAATAAGGCCAGAGCTTACCCTAAAGGAGCCAGTGTAGTGCCAGTGCCTCAGCCCAGTGACTGGGGTCGGGACAGTGAAATTAGAAGTCTGAGTTGGGGACATCCCTGGAGGTCCAGTGGTTAAGACTTCGCCTTCCAATGCAGGGGTGCGTGTTCGATCCCTGGTTTGGGGGCTAAGATCCCACCTGCCTCAGGGCCAAAAAACCAAACATAAAACAGAAGCAGTATTGCAACAAATTCAATAAAGACTTTAAAAAAATTTTTTTATTAAAAAAAAACAAGAAGAAGAAGTCTGAGTTGAACCAGATCCTCTCTCTAAGCCAGAATGCTTTGTGTTTTCCTTTCATTGAGTCTGGATGCCTGCTCAAGGACTACTGAGAGGTTAGGGACGCTGGGGTTGAATAACCTGGCGTCCAGAGTCAGTTTTTTACTGGCCTATAAGAAAGGTTACGTAGGAATTTCGTGCGTAGAAGCTTCCTAGCACAATGCCTGCTTCAAAATATATATATGTGTGCCAGCTTAAATAAAAGTAGTAAAGTTGAGCCCAGCTAGGAGGGATAAAAGCCATACATGAAAGAGAGAATATGTAATTATATCTTTCCTCTAATGCCTATTCCCTGCCTTATCTCCCAGAAGAAATATGTAACCCCTCTCTTACACCACCCCGAGAATTTTTGTTTGTTTGTTTGTTTTTTTGCGGTACGCGGACCTCTCACTGCTGTGGCCTCTCCCGCTGCGGAGCACAGGCTCCGGACGCGCAGGCTCAGCGGCCATGGCTCACGGGCCCAGCCGCTCCGCGGCATGTGGGATCTTCCCGGACCGGGGCACGAACCCGTGTCCCCTGCATCGGCAGGCGGACTCTCAACCACTGCACTACCAGGGAAGCCCACCCCCAGTATTTTTTATAGCAAAAATTTTAGGGTCAGGTACCTGAAATTGGAATGGGAAAGAGCCTTCCTCCTGGGCTTCTTGCATGGGTGTATGTATGTGAGTGAGTGTATCTGTTTGCTGTGGGACGGAATCCAGCCTGCTCATCGGCTCCCGTGGCTCCGTGTTGCACATGGCTGTGGAGGTTTGAGGTCTTGGGTTCTAGAGCTGCACCATCCAGTACCATGGCCACCAGCCACGGGTGGCTGTTGAAACCTTGAAATGTGGCTAGTCTGAATTGAGAAGTGCTACAAATTGTGATATACATGTGAGATTTTATATTAAATTGTAAATATTTTTCATTAATATTTCATACTGATTACCTGCTGAAATAGTATTTGGGTTACATTGGGTTAAAATATGTTACTGAAAGTACTTTCACCTGTTTTTCCTTCCTTAATGTGGCTGCTAGAACACTGACGAGTGCCTGTTTGGCTTGCATGACATTTGCTGTTGCTGCTCTGCAGGGCGGCGTCCCAGTTCTGGGCTCTCCCGACCCTCCTGCTGCTTGTCTCTGTCTCCTTCTCCAGTGTCAGCAAGTTGAATGCAGTGCGGCGGGTCTTTGAGTCCTTTCTGCCTGCAAAGCACTATGCTGGGTCCGGTAGGGGATTCAGAGGTGTAGGTAGCACGATTCCTAGTGGACTTTCTAGTCTCTGGTAGGGATAAGGCAGCTAGCTGCACAAGTAACTGTGCACAAGGCTGTGGGGCTTCCAGGGAAAAGGAGATGACATCCAGGTGGGGATCCAAGTGAGTCAGCTAAAACATGCACAGCTAAGTCTTCTCGATTCCTGGTATTTGTTGGACAGGCTTATTTTATTAAAAGAAGCCTTACGATTTATAATTACTAGTAATTTTTAACATCACATATTTTAAATAGGAAACGAAATGACAAAATAGAATTACTGGTGGGTTGTATTGCCGAACTTTCAGAAATTGAGGAGAACATGCTACTTAGACATGGAGAAAACGACTTCAGTGTCATGTATTCCACAAGGAAAAACTGTGCTCAGCTCTGGCTTGGTCCTGCTGCGTTTATAAACCATGGTAAGCTCTGTTTCTAAGGTGTTAGCTCTAGTGTTGGGTAGCACTTCTAAAACTTAGAATGACCTTATCTTCCTTTAAAGGAGGGTTGGAAATAGAAATTTCTTCTTTTTGCATAAACCTATTAAAATAAATATTCCTGTAGTTTAACTTAAGACCTGAAACTTCTATCAAAATTTGGTAAAATTATGTGGAAAGCTTATTTCAGATTTCTGTAATTGTTCGTGTTTCAGATCTTATCTACAGTTAATTGACTTTATCTTTTGGACATTTTTCAGATTGCAGACCTAACTGTAAGGTAAGCATAAAAAATATTTTATCTCAAGTATTTTGTGTTTGCTTCAGGTATGAGTTTCTTAATGAGTTGATTTTATTTCAGTTTGTGTCAACTGGTCGAGACACAGCATGTGTGAAGGCTCTAAGAGATATTGAACCTGGAGAAGAAATTTCTTGTTATTATGGAGATGGGTTTTTTGGAGAAAATAATGAGTTCTGCGAGTGTTACACTTGTGAAAGGTAAAGTATTAAGTAAGATATTCGGCTCTTGCATTCTTTTAAGCACCCGATGATTATGAGCACGAACTCATGTTATCTTCTCATCCTTTAAATGATAAGGGATAGTCTTTTATTTTCTACAGCATTGCACGCAGTACAGCATGCATAAGCAAAACCGAAGATCACAGAACTATTTAGGGGCCCCAGCACCTGGCCCTTTAAAATGTTAAAATCATTACCAGCAGTTATCATTATGAGTTCATCAGAATGCAAATATGCTTAAAGAGAGAATGGGAAATACCTTACATGCACACGCACACGCACACGCCCACACACACACGGTGCCAGGGTGGGGTTGCTCCGAAAATGGCCAGTGAAGTTCACCACTGCTAATCATGTAAAAACCCTGAGGTTGTCTTGGGTACTACCAAGCTGTGTCTTCTGGAATTGTTATGTTTTGATGCACGTGCTCTTAATAATTTCTAAGTTCCGTTACTTGGTGAAGAACTTCCTTTTGGGACCCATCAAGATTCTGGAGTCCTTGTAGAGATCCCCCAAGTGTGACTTGGCGGGACTCCTTGTCCACACTGCTCGTCTCCTTGTGGCGATTTCTGCGTGTCTGAGCTCAGAGGCAGCTTCAGAAGCTTGTCCGGGCCGGTGCTGCAGGAAGGCCCCCATGCTGGCATAGGCCACACAGGGAGCACACCTGGATTTGGTTTTTTGGTTATTGTTTTTATTTTTTTAATTGAAGTATAGTTGATTTACAAGATCATGTTAGTTTCAGGTGTACAGCGCAGTGATTGGGGTATACGTGTATATGTATATATTCTTCTTCAGATGAGCGCACCTGGATTTGTTGAGCCCCTTTTACGTGCTGTACTGGGTGCTTTACTCACCCTGACTCATTCAGTCCTCACAGCTGTCCTGGGAGAGAGCTGGTGGTGTGGCCACACTGCAGGTGCAGAAGTCCAAGTCAGCCTGACCTCAGAGCCCTTTACGCATGGAAGCAAAGATAGGCGGTGGTACTACTTCTCCGCCAGCCATCCAGCCTCGGGAGAAATGCTGATTCCCCAGAGCCCACGTTTCCCTTCTTTCAGGGAAGCCAGCGGTTTCCCCTGTGTCGTGAGAGAGCAGAGGCATGGGGTCGTGGTACAACCCCAGCTCTTTCTCTCCCAGCTCTGGGATCTTTGCCACGAAGGGAGGGCAGAAAACCTATTCCTGATGCTGCTGAATTTTTGCCCCTTTTGCAGGGAGGGAGTGGGAATGCAGGGGGATAAAATTTATCTTTTTCTAAATTAAAAAAATGGTTCAAACATTGGTTAAATCTTAGACCAGTCCACAAAAAGACCCTTTAATCCATGAAGTAGTTTAATTACAGTTGAATAATGCTTTAAAACCATTTTAGAGATAACAGTATAACAGTGATGTGCATGAGATCTGGCGTCAGACTCCCTGAGTTGGAATCCTGTGACTCTGCATTTCATTAGCTGTGTGATCTTGGGCAGCTTAGCTGCTTTTGTGCCTTAATTACCCCATCTATAAAATGGGGATAACATTAGAAACTATCTCATAGGGTTGCTGTGAGGATTAAATTTATCTCACGAAAAGTATGTAAAACAGCACACAGTTAATATTCAGATGTTAGCTGTAAACTTATTTTGTGGTTTCTGGTTATTCTCCCATTAGAATGCAAGTTCCAGGAAGGCAGAGATTTTTATCTTTTTCATTTACTGCTGTGCTCCCAGCGTCCAGAACAGTACCTGACATATAGTAGGTGCTTGATAAATATTTGGTGAATGAATGAATGGAGTAAGTAATACGCTAAATATGCTTTTGGAGGCTGTCCTGAAAAATGTAACCACATACACAGGATTCCAGGCCACCCCTGAAACAGCTCTTTGCCTAGTTTAGAACCCCATGTGTCATCATGTCCCTCGGGCAGATTAGTTCTCTTCCAGGAGACTGTTTCTCACTGGTCAGAAGGGCTGTCCTGCCTGCTCCACAGGGTTAGTGTGAGGAATAAACAGAAACATGTGCAAATCCTTTTTAAATGGAAAGGCCTCATACGGAGCAGTAGGCTCAGCTATTGCCAGACTATTTGGGAAGTTTGATTTAAAGGTTGGCTGGGAATATTCTTGAAATTCTCAGGAACACCAGATTGTTTCTGCCTTTCCAGAAATTAGGCGAGAGGATGAGACCAAAGGAACTCATCCAATTATTCATCATATAGTAACTGAATAGTTAGTTACTTTATGTTAGGCCTCATGCAGGCAGGGTAAACAAGACTAGCACAGTGCCAGCCGTGAGGGCAGTGCCATGAAAGGGACACACGCACAGTGTGCTAGTTGCTGAAGGGTGAAAAGAAGGAAAGAGAGGGGACAGAGGGTTTACAGAGGTGCTGACATCGTGGATACAGTGTCCAGGATACATTTGATGCGTGCTTCTGGGAAATAACCATCCTAACAAAATAGTAATTGTAATACTTTCATAAGTAAGTACTGCAAATTTCACTCTAGAAAATTTGAGAAATGAAGTCTAATGAGGGACCGAAGAATATGAAGGACCAAATTGTTTTAAAGCTTATATGAAAGTATGTCTGATGATAGCTAAGAAAAAATTAGATTCTGAAGTATAGTTAGGGGCACTTGGCCTTATTAAAAATTTACTATGAAACAGTTGTGATCAAAACTTGATGATACTGGCCGATATGGACAAATAAGAGGACATGAACAGACTCCTGAAATAGAGCCGAGTGTGTATGAAGTCTTAATACCACGTATGGGGAAATGATGATTTCTTTAATAAATAATAGTGACATAATTCATTGTGCGCCTGGAAGAAAACCAAGCTCAACTCCTATCTCACACCATATACAAGATAAATTCCAGATGGATTAAAATTTTTAATTTAAAAATATAATGTAAGATGATTAGGAAAAAAATTAGGAGAATGTATACGTCTACCCTTGGGGTAGTGGAAATCTTCGAAAGAAGTTAAGACAAGAAATGGTGAATATGAAAATTTTTGAATAGCTAAAAGCAAAAGTCAGATTAATGGCAAACTGAAGGGGGGAAAAAGTACATACACGGCAGAGTTAATATCCCAAGGACAAAAAGCTCCTATAAGCTCATTAAAAAAAAAGACAGACTTCCACTAGAGAAAAGAGAGGTAAGGAAGATGCTACACAGAAAATGATGGCCATAAACAAGGAAAACAATAACTAGGTATCCGTCTTCACTATCAAATTGGCAAAATTTAGAAGTGTTAGTCTGTGCCGCTGGTGAGGATGTGGGGAAACAGGCACTTACACAGTGTCACTAGGGCTGTAAATTGCTATAACCTTTTGGGAAAGTAATCTGGCAATATTTGTTCAAAATAATCACACCCTTTTGTCTGGCAGTCAGTTCCATATGGAAGAATCTATCCTATGGAAGTAGGAGCATTAGCTAGTAAGGATTTGGTTTCAAAGCAAGGTAGCAGCAGCATGCATGGTGGCAAGCAAAACCCACAAACCTACAAGTTTCAGTAATCACCAGTAGTGCTTGAATAGATTATGGAATGTTTAGTCTGTGTAAAAGGTACAAGTTTCAAAACAGTTCAGATTTACTTGTGCATGATGTAATAAGAAAGCTGGGGGAAAAAAAAGAAAGCAAGCTGGTTGCTGAGTAAGATGTATGGTATTATCCTCTTTGGGTTTTGTTTGCTTAGGAAGAAACAACAATGTGAATAGGTGTGTAGCTCATGGCAAAGGAGCAGGAGATGAGGTGCTGGCAGGTGGTTAGCACTGGCGCCAGGGCGGGGTGGGGGGGCTCTGGGGATGGAGGCTGGCTGGGGAGCACTATTGACTTCTGCTTTATGGAGACGGAGCCTAAGATTGTCTCACCTGTTGCAGCAAACACAAGCATGTGTTACTGTTATAAGTTAAAAAGAATTTAGTAAAGGAAGTAGAGAAACAGACGAATGGGGGAGTTTTACTTAAAAATAAATAAATTTCCAGATAATTCCACCATGATCATTTATTTTGTATTAAAGTACGGCCCATCTTTCCAGAAATATTACAAGTTATGGTAAAAAGGCACAATATCTGAACAAAATTTATTAATTCCTTAATCCACCTGAAATGAAACAGCCTTTAGGATTTATGCATTTACTTTCTGAATATACTTTATGGTGGAGTGGAGTGTAATTGTTGGCCTGCTGTGGTGAAGGTTACCTAGAGGTTTTTACAGTGATTTCTAATGCACCTTTTGAAAAAAGAATTGAGGCAGTCCCACAATATGTTTGTCGTTTTTACAAAAGCATTAATAAAAGTAGAATTCCAGATCCATTCTAGGAAGGCGAAGAAGGCAAGAATACTTAGTCGCCAGACATAGTCTCTGCATTCAGACTAGGTCTGTGCTCCTCCCTAGCATTAAGAGGTTTAAGAGGGAGGGAGAGAAAATAAAATTTTTGTCCTCCCTTAGCAAAAGGTGAAATACTCAGATTCCTTGGAGGAGAAAAGTTATTTTCTCCTCATCTAAATCCTGAAAAAAGTAAATCACATGGGATCTTTTGGAGGGCAATATTGCTTTCATAATGGGAAGTGTTCACAATTTTGCCTCAAGTTCAGAAGCTGTTATTTATTATATGGCTTTTCTTTAACAAGCGAAGGCCAGTGAAAGGCAAGTCAGTGAAGGCAATTTTGGCCAAAGAGATTTATCATCTTTTAAATGCAATATGTAGTGCTTAATTTTTTTAACCTCATTAATTTATATTTTATTTATTCTTTTGAGCAGAGCAAGTAGAAATTTACCTGTATAACTGAATAAAGCAAAGATTTGCAAAGCTAGGTTCATTAAGGAAGTTTAGGAGGACTTCTTATTAAGCACCCACTTCATTAGAATTTATATAAATATAAATAATTAAAGCAGGTTACAAATCATTCTTAGCCAGTGGTAAAAGCAAGTCTTTTAATGTCTTTTATTTAGTAACATTTTGTTAATTATGTTCATTCAGTAACTTTAAAGGAGGAATTTAACAGTTTTCATTATTCTAGAAATGAGATTTTCACTAAGATAGCCTAGCCTTCTTATTCAGAATTTTAGTTAGTATTTGTTTGTATCTAACATTAGCTTCTAAGCAATGATTTAATTTATGGAAATTCGCTGGTTCCTCTTTTAATTCTGTAATTCTCAATATTCAGTAACGTAGTGTTAAATTATGCAGAACAAAGCTGGGATATAATTAACAGGTGGGTTATTTCAGTTACAGTTTAGACCTAATTATTGTACCAGTCGGTTTTGAAATTGAAATTTTATTTATTTATTTTTACCTACACTTGAAATTCTACAGGGTCCAACCAGTAGCTTCTCATGGGCAATTAACAATTGATTGACAGTAATCATAACAAATTGTTTTATTTTAAGTCTGGGGCGTTTTTGCATTAATTTTATGTATGTATGTATGTTGAGAGTCCTAGGCTTAGCGGCTTTCCAGTGGCGATTAGGGCCTCATCAGTTCATCACACTTGCTGATCTGATGTGGCCAAGTGCGCTCAGCAACCAGGCTTACGTCAGTGAGAATGCTGTTTGTGTAACCTGTGCTGTTTCTCTTTCAGACGGGGAACTGGTGCTTTTAAATCCAGAGTGGGACTGCCTGCGCCTGCTCCTGTTATCAATAGCAAATATGGACTCAGAGAAACAGATAAACGTTTAAATAGGCTTAAAAAGTTAGGTGACAGCAGCAAAAATTCAGACAGTCAATCTGTCAGCTCTAACACTGATGCAGATACCACTCAGGAAAAAAACAATGCAAGTAAGTAAGGGAGATTTGATAAGCATATCTTTTTTTTTTTTCTAAGTATTTTCACATAGTTTGCTTTCTAAAGCATGCTCTAATAGTTTTGATCTTTTAAACATTGAGAGAAACTCTGGGATTCATGCACTTCACCAGCACTGCAAGGTTCTAGAAGTGATTCGAGCACAAAAGCAGTCTGTATCATGCCTCCAGATTTAATATGGTACTAAATTGTCTGCTTTTCTTGAATACTGGGTAACTGGATATTAAATTCTCCATCGTGTGTTCCAGGGTCATCATATGTTTGACAGAAAGCTTTTCAAGGTCTTAGTTTCTCTGTAATGATATTGTTAGGCCCGCAAGAAGACAAAGGACGGGGTGGCGCCACACAGGCACATACGTGTTCTGCGGCTGGCCAGTCTGTTAGGATGGATGATGGACTTGGGGAATTCATAGCTTCTGGCCTCAAGGCTTCCACCCTTTCACTGCTTGCTTGCCGTTTTCAAAATGAACTGACCCAGTTCACCAAACCACCAGTTACCAGACTCAGAATTGTGATAGAGGAGCAGTTTGAATGTCATTATACTGACGTGTTGTAATAGCCACTCGACCGAAAGTAGCAAGAGAGATGAAAAGGAGAAGGAAAGAAGCTTTAAGATACCAGTTGTGTGGGGGGGGGGCAAGACCTGATGGAAACTGGAAAAAGAGAATGAAGAATAAAGAGAAAAGAAAGAGAAGAATCCTAAGTGAGCACAAGAAAACACATCACGTTTTTGGAACCTTGAAGTCCTGGAACCATCCTGATTGCTGCTGTTTTCCCTCTGGGTAGCACCAGTTTTCTCTAGTTGCCACTGAAGCAGTAGGCTCCTTAGTCTGACTTGTCTCTGATAGGAATAAAGTTTAAAAGTTTTAACTTGATGGTCCCCAAAGTATGCCTGTTTGGGCACTCTAAATGTCCATACACACTTGTTAGCAGTAAGTACCGTCTGAGGTCTGATTATTTTAGGCTCTTCTCCCTGTCTTCAGATGTTTTCAGCCCAACTCTGGGTACTCCTCTCCACTACAGAAAATCCCAAAGAAAAGGGAAGATGTCTCCCGTGATGGTGACTGTCACTGCCCTGAATCCTGACTCTACCTTCTGCTGGGAGTCAGAGGCCAGGGGTAACCTCTGCCGTGGAAGAGCGATGCCGCGTTCCTATTCCAGTCTTTAACGCTCAAAGTGAACAAAGAAGAGCAGTTAGTTCGTCATTCACTGTTGACTGTTGGTTTTAATAATAAACGCAGCATAATGAACATTTTGTTTTCTGAGTCTGGTTCCTTGGTGAGACTGGCGACTTGTGAGGCCCATTTTATAAATGCATAGAACACCTAGGAGCGCGCTGCCAGCCACACGCGGAGATGCCACGGCACCGTCCGCGTGGCTCTGTGACGTTCGTGCGGGTGCTTTGTGTTCTTACGCGTTAACCGTACACTGATGTGTAGATGCTGAACTCAGCATGCCACTTAGTTTAAAAAACCAAAATAGGAAAAATTTTTGGAAGGTGTTGAGTGTTCTATTATGTGACCATCTATGGGATATTTATTAATAAACCAAATACATGTTCAAAGCCTGCTGGTTGTTAAAAAGAGAAAGAAAAGTGTGTGAGACTTGGGCCCCTCCCTTGGGGAGTTTATGCCTTAGCTGCAGGATGGGACCAGTACACAGTGACTATGCAGAGCAGACTGTAAATGCCACCTGCTGAAGGCTAGAGGGAATAGGTAATCCCTCTGAGCTGTAATCTCATCATTACAGAACAGAAACGCAGCCCTTCACCGCGACTGCTTATATCAGGGTGCTTACTTTATTCAGGTTACTTTTCTGCACAGTGATTGTCTGGAGTAATTCGAGGGTTGGCACAAGTAGCTTTGAGGGTCATTGTGACAGTTGCTAGACATGGCTCAGGGCTCTGAAGGAGCTCGAGGTTTACTCCAGCGGTCTCTGAGAACATTGTGCACTAAGTATGTTCATAGCAGTGTTTTCTCGGGCTCTTACATGTGTTCTTTTAGGCTGTATTTCTTTTGCTGTTTGTGTCTTGACCAAACCCTTCTACCTGTTTGAAAGAAAAGACTTTTTGAGACTGCAGTGGATGCAAGGCCAGAGGTGCCCAAGCCTTTCTCCCAAGGGGCGTGGGCATACATCTTGTGTATAGATTCCGAGTACCCATCTTATCCTGCAGTTTGGTTAGAATTAAGCAGCTGACAACTATAGAGGAACTGCTTTCTCTGAACAGCGTGTTTGTTCTTTTTAAAGAAACGTTTCTGCCTAGTTGGAAGAAAAAATTATTTCTTCCTTCCATGCAGGTCCTTTTTTGGAAGGTGTCTCAAGAACCACAACTTGACTGTTGGCTTTAGCATCCAGAGAGGAGACAAGAAATCCATTTTCACAGATTCAGTCCACAGACCTGAATTATAATGCCATTACTAGAAGAGTCGGGTTTTTTAGGCCTCTTGTGCCTCAGTGGCTAGGCCACCCCCATAGTGCTGCGTCCTGGATGTGAGCCACTGAAAATGCCACGAGTTGGTGCAAGTCCCAGAGGACTCCCACCAGTGGAATAAGTTCACTCAGCTGGACTGAGGAGCGCCTGTCCTGGAGACAGTGGGCTGGGCCACCACCTGTCACTCTCTCGCCTGCCGCAGACATCACTGGTTGGTCTGAACACTTTTCTGCTGAGCCTGCAGGCTGCTTCAGAAGCCTTTCCAGCACCTTTTTCCAGCCGTTCATTCCTGTGTTGGTTGCATGAGGTGGAGCCTGCTTCTTGTGCCTGACAGACTCCTTGAACTGAAGTCTTCAAAATCCTGTTGAGGGTTTTTGGGTCCTCGTGTTGGGAACATGCCAGGCTGCGTGTGGCCCTCGTGTTCCCTTGGCTCCACCGTGTGTGTTTCTGGGGCTTGTCCAGCGCAGGGCACGGGTGCAGCCCGAGCGTTCTGGAAGCTTTGATGTCGTTTTGCTGCTCTTGTGTCTGGCTGTCATTCTCGATGCCCACACAGAGCTGCCTTATGATTTTGAGGACACCCTGAGGGAACCACGGTAGCCATACCACGGGTCCTTTCCCAGGAGTTGGGACTGGCCCCATAATAGCTCTGTGGTGTCCCTTAGAGGCCGTGTGACGGTGTGGTGAAAAGCTTGAGATCTGGAGCCACAGGCCTCAGTGCAAGTCCCATCTCTGCCGCTGACCGGATGGACGCGCTCAGGCACGCTAGCCCACCTGAACTTGGTTTTCACTTAGTGTCATAGTTCTTACTTCAGGGAATGCTTATTATGATGGAGATCACACTGATCTGCCCATTTGGCGCTGTACCTAGTATATACTAATTGCTAAGAATGTGTATCTTCACGTGAAATTACTGTCTAGGTTTATGCATTTGGGATTTGTCCCAGCCGTGAGGGAAGAGAGCCACACGTGGTGTGTTAGTGCCAAAGCCAGGGGAGCCGTGGCCGTGCCTTCCCTCCACTGTGTCAGGATCCTCAGTCTCTTGATAGACTTTTCTTAGTTTGCCATTGTGACCACCATCTCTCCCTCAGCCTGCTGTTGCTGGCGCTCACCCCCCATCCCCCCGCGATGGTGTAGCAGCACCTTCGTGGCGCCGTGAAGAGCCCTGGGTGCTTAGTCACGTTGCCCACATTTCTCTTACCCAGCCGGACTGTGCCTTTTGTGCCCTTTGACTTGAGCACACCTTTTAGCTGGGCTTTTGTTGAGATAACGCTTTTCAAACAAAATGAGAATACACTGATAAATACATAAATATGTAAGTGAAGTCTCTCTATCGGAATAACACGTAGCATCAAATTCAGTCTCTCTTGTGCTCTTTAAAACACTGAAGTGCTTTGTCAGTGGTTCACTGCAGTCAGCTAACAATGAACCTCTCGGAAGGAGGGGTGGAAGGGGGAGAGCCCAGATTCAAAATCACCGTAAGTGAGATTCATCCAGTGATTGAAAATCAGTGCCCAAGTGAGGAGAATCTCAGGTGCCATGAAGAGTCATAGGAAGGGTAACCTGTCATGTGTAGAGTCATGAAAGGCTTCCTGAGAGAAGTGTTTGCTGAGCTGAGTCTCAAAAGGGGAGGAGAAGTTGGCCAAGTGAAACGTGCTCCAAGCAGAGGGAACGTCACAAATGAACGTGTGGGCACGAGTGTAGGATTTGCATCAGTAAAGTTCATCAGGGCTGGAGTAGAAGGTGGGAAGGAGGGATATGAGCATAATTTAAAATTTTGGACTTTATTCTGAGGTATTACGTTATTGGCAGATTTAAAGCCCAGAAGTGACGTGGCGTACTAGGAGAATCATCTGGGCTGCGTGGTGGGGGATGGAATGTCGGGGAAGCAGTGGGGAGGCAAGGAAAGGTGGGTGTTAGTGCCGGAGTCAAGGCAGGAAATGGTGGCATCAGGAATGGAGAGGAGGTGGTTCCAGCGACACTGCAGGAGTGGACTCCACAGGACCAGTGGCTGGTTGGTGAGAGTTAGCGAGAGCAGGCGTCATGGATGACCTCCCCGTGTCTGCTTGGGCAGCTGGCTGGGTGTTGGTGGTATTGACCAAGATGGAGAACTTAGGCTTGGTGGTGAGTTCCCTTTGGGCATGTTGACTTGTGAGGGGCTCATGAGACAATCTTAGCGGGCGATCAAGGTCCCAGTGGACCTTCGGTGATGCGGATCTGTAATTAAGGCGAGAATCAGGCTAGAGACTTTGGTTTGGGAACTTCCAGCGTATCGATGGTGGTAGCCGTGGAGGAGTGGCTGCTTATGGCCTGGAGACTGAGTAGAGTTTTCAAGGGGCCTAGGATAGCAGAGGCCTGGGGAGTGCAGTCCACCGGGCAGATGGAGGAAGAGGGTCCGGGACACGGAGGGAAGGCCAGGAGAGTGTGCTCTCGCGAGCAGCCAAGGAGAGAGGGGGTTCAGGAAAAATAATGGTTAGCAGCGTCACATTCTGCAGAGAAGGAAACAACGGTACGGCTGAAAGGGTCCACCGGATTTCATGACAAGGAGTCTGTGAGGGAGACTGGCAAAGGCGCTGTTTAGGAGGACAGGTTGGATCCAGATTGCAGGGGGATTGCAGTCAAGGATACACGGTATAAGTGATCATTGTGGAGGGGTGGTTGCAGGTATGAAATGAGAACCGCTGACCTTGGTCATAGAATGGCCCTTGAAGAGCCATAGACAGCAAAGTCTCGCCACAGCCACATTTGAGAAAGGCAGACACCAGCACTGGCGTGTTTACATCATAAGTACATCTGCTCTCACCTCGTAGGAAGCCGTGTCAGCACAAAGAAATCCTTTAGCAAAAGCAGTCCCTAAATATCCTTATGTTTAAAAAATTATTTCTGGTAAGTTCTGTATAATTCAGTTCACAATACGTCGGTGGTTCTCAAATTGGGTGGCACCCAAACTTTACTGTTCTTAAAAAAAAAGTTGCCTCCCTGGTAGCATCCCGCACAGATAAGCATGTTCTTGGTTCAGTCAGTGGATCTCATTCCTGGGAATTCTGCTGGTTTGGAGATCCCAGAGCCATTTGTGAGCCCGTCTTCCTGAGTACAGAGACTTCTGTTCTTGGCGGGTGGATGTCTTTGGAATGCTGTTATGCATTCTTGCTCCTCTCCCTCAATAAAAACTAACTAATGGTAACCTGACTCGCTCAGCCATGCAGAAGGAACAGCAGTCACCCTGGCGACCCTCAGGCTTGTAGGAAACAACAGTCTTGTCGGGCAGCGTGCTGGGCTTACCCACGTTCACTGGTTTTTATTCCCTCTGTTTTCTGTTGAGAGGTGGTGATGATTCGTTTGGTCATCTCAACTTCCCTAGTGAATGATTTAAAGGGGTATTTTGATGGGAAGAGCTCTGCAGGTGGGGGATGGGGAGCAGACTAAGTGATCGCGAAAGTGACTCACGTAAAACACTGTGACTATAAATCCAAAATGTAGACGTAGAGAAAAACAAAGATGGCGGAAAGGAAAGTCAGTGGCAAGGTCAGAGGCTCACCACGGGGCCACCTTACACTTGAGTCACATATAAGCCTTTTGAGAAGCCGTCCAACTGTCATGTTCTCAGGTTGTCATTCCCAGTAGGTTGTCATCCCCTTGTCCAGAGGAAGGAAGTTGGGTCTCCCTTGTCCCGAGAGTGTAACTCTAGCAGTGCGCTTTTTCCCTGTTTCGGTTTGATTGTCGGCAGCGGGCAGTCAGCGGAGGGATGGGGCCAAGTAAGTTCCGCAGCCTTCAGAGTCTCTGCTAGTCCTCACAGCATTGAAGGGAACAGCTTAGAAGGTGCGGTATTTGGGGATAAATGTCTAGTGGGAGTAACAATATGTGGTTCTTAGGATCTCTTTTTCTTACTTGAAAACATCGTGATAGAATTTGTCTCTGAGAGCCCGTTAGTCACCTGTCGCCAGTTCTGGATTACTAGTCAAATAACATACTTTGAGTTAATGAATAATGGATTTTAGAAACATTTTAAATGATGATTTTAAGAAGAATCTATGAAAGAAAAATATTATTTTTACTTAGCTTTACTTCAGATATTTTATGTGGTAAAAGACTAAATCAGGGAAAGAAGTGTTCAGTTTGGACTAGTGTCGTGATAGATTAAGGACACTTAGAGTGAAATCCAGGTCCTTGCTGTGCTAAGAGCTCTTTAACCCTGAAATTACGTACCTGGAAAGTGAATAGATGCTTCTTCAATTAGAGGCAGAAATTAGAAAGCGAATGTAAAGGAGAACTGTAGGAGTGCTGGCAGAAACGCAACTGGGGTCTGTCTACCACGTTTTTTGTATAATCTAAACATTTCATAGCTAATCGTCTGGGTGTTGGCATTGTTTTGTTGAACATTACCGTGTTACCAAGACTGTTTTTCATGCTTTTTTTCTTTTTCTTTTTAAACTTTGCAGCTTCTAACCGAAAATCTTCCGTTGGCATGAAAAAGAACAGCAAGAGCAGAGCATTGACAAGGCAGTCCATGTCAGGAATTCCAGCTCCTTCCAACTCTACCTCATCTAAGCTAACTCCTATAAGTAATTCCAGGGTACCAAAGAAACTGAGAAAACCTGCAAAGCCTTTACTTTCAAAGATAAAACTAAGAAATCATTGCAAACGGCTGGAGCAGAAGAGTGCTTCGGGAAAACTCGAAATGGGAAACTTAGTACTTAAAGAGCCTAAAGTAGTTCTGTACAAAAATTTGCCCATTAAAAAAGATAAGGAGCCAGAGGGACCAGTCCCGGCCGCGGCGGCCAGTGGGTGCTTAACTAGACACGCAGCACGAGAGCACAAGCAGAACTCCGGGCGAGGCGCCCCTGCGCACGTGGAGGGCGCCCCCTGCACCTACACAACCCGGCGGTCCTTGAGGACGAGGATGAATTTGAAGGAGACCTCCGACATCAAGCTCGAACCAAATACGTTGGATGGCTACAAAAGCAGCTTGACGGAACCTTGCCCAGACAGTGGCGAGCAACCGTCTCCTGCGGTGCAGGAGGAAGAACTGGCTCATGAAGCTGCACAGAAGGGGGAGGCCAAGTGTCCTAAGAGTGACAGCAGCATGTCAAAGAAGAAGTCACGGCAAGGGAAACTGGTGAGACAGTTGGCAGAAGCAGAGGAATCCGCTGCGGTGCACGATTCCCCTGGCAGAGCTGGCGTGGGGCGAGAGGGGGTGGGGTCCCACCCTGACCAGGGCGAGCACAGCAGCCTGGAGGGCGTGCCCGGGAGCTACACGGACTGGCCCCCTTCTCCTGTTAGCGGTTCTGTGGTCGCATCAGACAGCTTCAAAGCAAAAGACAGCTTCCGAACTGCAAAAAGCAAAAAGAAGAGGCGGATCACTAGGTATGATGCACAGTTAATCCTAGAAAATAACTCTGGGATTCCCAAATTGACTCTTCGTAGGCGTCATGACAGCAGCAGCAAGACAAATGACCAAGAGAATGATGGAGTGAATTCTTCAAAAATAAGCATCAAGTTAAGTAAAGACCATGAAAATGATAATAATCTCTATGTAGCAAAGCTTAATAATGGATTTAACTCAGGATCAGGCAGTAGCTCTACAAAATTAAAAATCCAGCTAAAACGGGACGAGGAGAGTAGGGGGTCGTATACAGAGGGGCTTCACGAAAATGGGGTGTGCTGCAGTGATCCCCTTTCTCTCCTGGAGTCTCGCATGGAAGTCGATGACTATAGTCAGTATGAGGAAGAAAGTACCGCTGATTCCTCCTCTTCAGAGGGAGATGGAGAGGAGGATGACTATGATGACGACTTTGAAGACGACTTTATCCCTCTTCCTCCGGCGAAGCGGCTGAGGCTCATAGTCGGAAAAGACTCTATAGATATTGACATTTCTTCCAGGAGAAGAGAAGATCAGTCTTTGAGGCTTAATGCATAGTAAGCCCTTGGTCTTAATTTGACCCGGGATAACTACTTTAAAGAAATAAACAATTCCAGTCAATTACTCCTCAACCGAAAACATTTTAGGGGCAGCACTTCTGTTGTCTTTTCACTTATCAGCATAATACTGTAGAAAGTGTACAGCGTACTGACTCTTCTTAAAAGTCTGATTTGTGCAAATTTTTATTGTACTTTTTAAATAGCCTTCTTATGTGCAATTCTGAGTTAGAGGTAAAGCCCTGTTGTAAAATAAAGACTCAAGCAAAATTGTACAGTGATAGCAACTTTCCACACAGGACGTTGAGAACAATAATGTGGCTACACAGTTTTCTTTTTTTTTAACTTTAAGAGCATCAACTGGCTCTTTAATATATGACTAAAAAATAATTTAAAACAAATCACAGTAGCAGCATATTAAGGTTTTCTAGTATATGCTAATATCACCAGCAATGTTCTTTGGCTTTTTTGATTTATTTGCTAGATGTTTCCCCCTTGGAGTTTTGTCAGTTTCACAGTTTGCTGGCCCAGGTGTACTGTTTGTGACCTTGGTTAAATAGCAGACCATCGGTCGGGTGGGAGTGAAACCGGTTTCTTAAAAAAAACAAAACAAAAAAAAAACACATGCGTGACAGCTAACTTTTCAGTACGTTATATGTACGAGGGTCGCAGTGTGCAGGAGGAGTTTCGATACAGCGTATTTATTGCTTGTCATGTAAATTAAAGACCTTGTATTTAACACTTTTCAATCCTTTTAGATAAAATTGTTCTTTGCAAGAATGATTGGTGCTTATTTTTTCAAAAAATTTGCTGTGAACAAATGTGATGGCAACAAACAACATTTATCTAATGAACTACAGCTATCTTAATTGGGGTCTTCAAGTTTTCTGTTGCACTTGTAAAATGCTACAAGGAATATTAAAGAACTCTATTCACTTTAACTTATAATAGTTTATGAAATAAAAACATGAGTCACAGCTTTTGTTCTGTGGTAACCTATAAAAAAATGTTTGTCTTTGAAATTCAGTGTAAAGAACTGAAAACAGTGTATATGTTGTAAATATTTGTGTGTTGTGAGAAATTTTTGTCATAAGAAATTAAAAGAACTTACCAGGAAGGTTTTTAAGTTTAGAAATATTCATGCCAATAAAATAGGAAATTATAAATATATAGTTTTAAGCACTGCATCAGTGGGAGTTCTTGGCTTATGTTAGTTTATGTATGAAAATATCAAAGATTTTTTTGACTATATTATCAGTTAAACAAAAAGAGGAGTCATTTAATTTGTTTTTGAAGCACTTTGAGAAGAGAAATTAATTTTAAGTAACTTAATGAGCAAAATTTTGATTACTACTTTGTGTTCAATACCAACCTTCCATTTCTCTGGATTATTTTACAAATCATTGGACAAAGAATCTGAGAATATAAATCTGTAGCAGGTGTTTGACACCAGTGGGTCTCTCTACTTCTGGGAAATGTGTACATGTACTTTCAGATATACAGTGTTCCTAAGTGAAATCAATTTAGGAGATTCGTGTAGTGTCTAGAAAAGTAGCCCATATCTTTAAATACTTAAAGGAATCTGCAGGTAATGAGAAGTCCAGTGGAGAAAACCTCAGTGCTTACTGTTACTACTTATTGATTCCTACCAGTTTCTAGGTTCCTGGGGATACTATTTAAATTAAGTTCCTTAGAACTATTGCTAGTAGGTTCCAAATAGAAATTAGTAACATTCATAAAAGTTCTTTAAATTTAGAATTTTTCTCCCCTTCTGTTCTTCAAGGAATTACTTCTATAGTCTTCTGTCGTCTCTTTCCTGTTTGTTACGGTGCAGCTTCATCCTCAGGTATTAATGTGGGAGCAGGTGGCTGACCTCCTCGCCCACTCACACCCCCCTTTGCTCGCTCCGTCTAGAATTCTTCACCTCTCGAAGTAGGGCAGCCCTGCAAGGTCTGTCCCAAGGCACTCGGAGCAGTCTACAACCTCACCCAGTCCTCCCGGTGTCTCTGGGTGGCAGTGGGAGACTCAGGCCACTGAGAAGGTCACGCCTAGACCCTGTGTCTGGGAGGTACCAGAGAGCAGGGGGTCATCTTTTATTCCCACCTTAGTTTGGAGTCTTTCAAAGAGGTTCAGAGACTAAATCTTGAACTGTTTTCTTGGAATACCAACGATAGCCATTTCAGGAATTTCATCTTAAGGAAAAAGTAACAAAACACCGCATTTCCCACTTTACTCCATTTTTAAGCTTAATTTTAGTAATTTATTTATGATGTTTAACTTTATTGAGGCCTCGTCTTTGGGGGCTGAGCTTCCCGTGGGTCCGAGCAGTGACGTTAGGTGGTGGTCACTGCCTCAGGAGTCGGTGTGCACAAGCGCTCGGCAGCCACTGCCGGCGCCTTCCAGGGAAACCTAATTTCCGTTTTTACAGTTAGGGGCCTCGGAGCTGGTCTAGCTCTGCTGTAGAACTTCACTGTGTGGAATGGCGAAACCCACACACTTGACCACTTGGAAGAGGTTGCATTCAATAAAACGTAGCTAGAGCTTATGCAACGATTGGTAAAGATTTTGGCATTGTAAGAATTAGGAAATGATCATAGAAATATATGTAAGGTATTCAATTTTCAATCATTTTTCAAATTACTGTTTTAAATTGTTTTGCTGAGTTGTAACACTTTTGAGATACAATGTATTCCTTGTACTGAAAGAATGAAAAAAGGACTTTTTCAGCATTTGAGGTAAGTTCTTTAATGTTTCATTAAAAACATTTTTTACAAATATTTTGTACATGCACTTGCAGTATTGAGGTTAATCATTTTAATAAATTCGGAAATTAAAACAGTTTGGCCGGTGTTCACTGTATCTGAGAAGAAAAGATCAAAGTGGTGACTGTGTCCACAAGGTTTTCACGTACAGTAGAATTTGTAAGATCACACTTTCTGAAGCTTTTCAATATCTGTGAGTGATCTGAGCCCTGGTCTCCTTTTGCTTCTGGTGCCGTTTGGTTTAAACCGGGGGTAAGCACTCGTTCCTCTCTCGGTGGGGAGACCACTTTCAAACTACATAGCCCCCTGGCCCTCGAACCCAAGAAGGCTTTTGCTACCCAGTTACTAATGGTGCCTGACTACTTAGTTTTTTCCCCTCTCTGAGACAACTGGCATATCCAGCAGTGGCGTGAGTCATTCTTTTCTCCCAGTTACTGTAGCAAAACTTAAGTTGGGAAAGGAAATGTGACTGGCTCAGGAGTCAGGAAACCTGAATGTACCCAGCTCCGCAACATGTGGGTGACCCCGAGAAAGCTGCTCACCCCCAGATCTCCTCTTTGCAGCACCTGTAGGTCAGCATGGACACCTGGTCCTGTTGCCAGTTAAGCTTCAGGGTGAGCTGCGTCCACTCGCGGTGAGGGCGGTCAGGGTGAGTGGTGCAGACCAGGCTGGGAAGACTTCCCGGTGAATTGGAATAGCCACGCGAACTTGGGTTCCCGGTATGAGAAAAGGCTAATAGGGCTTCCCTGGTGGCGCAGCGGTTGAGAGTCCGCCTGCCGATGCAGGGGACGCGGGTTCGTGCCCCGGTCCGGGAAGATCCCACATGCCACGGAGCGGCTGGGCCCGTGAGCCATGGCCGCTGAGCGTGCGCGTCCGGAGCCTGTGCCCCTCAACGGGAGAGGCCACGACAGTGAGAGACCCGCGTACCGCCAAAAAAAAAAAAAAAAAGGCTAAGAGGTGGTGCACCTGTTAAATCCACAGCCCCTTTCAAGGCTCGGGTTTGCTGTCTACCCTGAGATGAGTTGCACCTTCTCCATAACCAGTGGCAGCTCCCGCGCCGCCCAGAGCCCTCGTGTGAGTTCCTTTTCTCCAGTGCCGACTGTTGTTAACACATGCCCATGATGTTCACTGCAGAACCCAGCGGCACTCAGCGGGGCGCAAGCATGCTGCTGACCTCAGGGGCACTTCAGTACCCCAGGGCTACGGTCGGTGTGACCTCTCCTGCAAGGGAGGATGAGAAGGTCTCCAGCCTCCTCCCTCCCTGATGTCATAGAGCTTGGGCAGTGTTTCGTGTTTGCTAGTGACAGGCCCAGAAGAAAAGTGGCCTTTGACTCTTCAGAAAGGGGTAGGGTACATTGGACGGGCAGGGTTGGGCAGAGGGGTCTGCCACTCGAGCTCCCTCCACCCTTCCTCCTGCACTTCTGCCACTTGCACTCTCCCAGAGGGTTAAGCTTATGTACCTGGAAGCAGTTGAAAAGCTGCTAACCTGGAGGACAGTAGACGGCCTACAGCCTCACAGAAATAACTTTGGTAAAGTCCTTTTTACCAGATCCTGTTTTCTCCTTGTCAGATTCGTGAGTGTTCCTGCCGAGTTGCAGTGGACTGACTTCTGTCTTTTGGGCGTCACCCACCCTGTCAGGCCTGCTCTGCTAAGGGGAAGCAGAAAACTGCTGGGTCTGCTCAGGCCCACAGGAGGGCTGCCAGCGAGTCGGCAAGTGGCCCCCTCCTCAGTCTGAGAGCCTGAGCAGGCAGTGTCCAGAGTGGCTGGGGCAAAGTTGCATTTCTTTGCTATTTGTCAAGCAGTGATTATGTTAGGTGCTGCTAGGGGTGGGAAGGCAAGATGTGTGTGTCTTCAGCGTGGGGGGTAATTAAAGCCCTGGCAGAAGGTGAGATAACCTGGGCAAAGAGGACAGGCATCCGCAGGGCCCTCTGGACACAAGGTCAGGCAGGTGCTATCGCTCTTTGGTCCTCGTGCCCTGGGGGCGCCTGGGGAGGCCCTTCCAGGAGGAGCCAGGCAGGTGGAGGAGAGAGCAGGCGGAGAGGAGGTTTGACCGAAGGTGGAAATGATGAAACTGGAAGGGAGGTGGGGTTAAGGATTAACAAAGGACAAGAGGGTCTGACCGTGGAAAGCTTCCACAGGGTGGGGGAGGGGAGGGGTTACTCAGAGTCCGGGGAAGGAGGGGTGGTCTTAGGTTGATACGTCTGTTTTCCTTGGCAACAGGAAGAAAAGAGGTGGTAGGTGAAGGGGGGGAGTCAGTTCCAGCATGAAGGTTTCTATTTTGTCTAAAGTAGGAGGCGAGGTCACCTGACCGGGAGGAGATGACGGGCCCAAAACTTGAGTGTGCAGGAGATTTGAAATCAAGAAAGGGTGCGCAAGCTGACTATAGGAACCCAGTGTGGTGCATCACAGAAGTCTCAGTACCAGTCAGTGTTCGAGGCACCCATGGGAGCAAAGGCTGGTGGCAGCACTTCTCCGCACAGGTGTGAGGCTCTCAGCCAGGTGGGGGCCACAGAAGGCAACAGGGCTGGAGGCTATAAGGTGCAGGTGGGCAGGAGAGGGCCTGAACGAAGAGGCCTGGAGTGCATTCAGGGAGGAGGAGTCTGCAACCAGAGTAGGCCCCTGACCAGGGGAAGCGGACTTGCCCAAGGCCTGGCGGTGCCCCTGTGGTCAGAACAGCCAAGCGGTAGCTGGACAAGCACACCGGGAGGACAGGAGGCTGAGGTCAGAGGGAAGGCTCTCGAAACTGGAAGAGCTTCATTTTCAATGGGATTTGGGGGAGAGTGTTGTGGTCCTGAGGCAGCAGGAGGGCCAGCAGAACCGAGGTCAACCAAGATGAGAGCAGATCAGCCTTCACCGTGAGCCCTGGGAAGCAAGCGACCACCCCCGCAGCCAGACAGAGACTGAGCCTGTGGCGGACAAACACGGGGAGACACCCTCTTCAGGCGGCGGGGGCCCGGTCTGGGGCTGCGGGTAGTAATATGTTTCAGGGAGAGAGTGAGTCAGCCTGCCTGAGGCCACGTGGCTAGCGGCAGCGAGTGGCAGCTCTGGCCCCAGGGCCCCACTCCTGGTGGAGTCGGCCTGGAGAGCACTGGCTGGTGAGGGTCACAGAGCCAAGGGTCGCTCCAGCCTTCGTCTCGAGGCCCCGCCTTCCCCAGGTTGATTCTGGAAGTCTCCGTCTGCTTCTTAGGAGTGAGTGCCAGATAGCAGCCACTGCGTCTTACCCTCATTTCCACGCAGTGACGTGCAGCCAGGAGAACCTTGTCCAGAGGTTATCGTGCAGATATGCTGGGTGAGCCACCCCCATGTGTCAAGGGTGGGCGAGGTGCCACGTGTGTTTGCTGGGCCCCCGAGGGGTGCGGACTTGTCTTTATCTGAAAAAGTGAGTCAAACACGAGGATACCTCAAGACAGCAAAAGAGGAATTCCAAGGTATCCTCCAGCCTGGCAACTCTGCGGTGGTGACGGTGGCTTCACACAAAGGTCCAGATGTGAAGGAGGGACTGAATCTGACCAGGAGGTTTCTTGTGTTATCCCCTAAAATACGCCTATGGTACCCTCCGGACAACTGTCCTCTCACAGGACAGACTTCAGAAGCTGTAAGGACAGGCCCGGGAAGCAGGGTTCCATTCTAGGACAGAAAGCTGATTTCCATGTCGGAAGCACACCCGTGAAGCGGGTTACCCCGTGTTTGCTCCCGGCAGGTCAGGCTCTGAGGTTTCTCCGCAGCCCCTCCTTGGGGCCGCGAGCTGCACGCGGCACTGGCAGAGGTGCCCGGGATAAAGCCCGAGGCTGTTACCTTCCCTCCTGATTCTGGCAGGTGGAGGAGGCCCTTCATAACGTCACTCTCCTAGAAACCAAACAGAACGACATTTATTTCCTGCTCTTGCCAGTTAAAGCACATTTTTCTTCTTCGGGTAAGAGGGTGAGTGAAAGACTGAGCCTTGCCAGCCTCCAAGTGGACCAGAGCTGGCCCTGGAAATGGCTCAGTCTGGGCTCACGGCTAGTGGTTGATACCTGGCCTTCCCCCCGCACCCCCTCCCCCAGGCTCCCCACCCAGGCTTGCGCAGCACCTTTGGTCTTTCTGCCCTTTCCTAGCTATGTGAGCGTGGGCAAAACACTGCCCCCTCTCGTCTCAGCGTTCTCCCCTGCACGACGGGGCAATACTGGCACTTAACTCCGGGGTGGTTGAGGATTAAGTGAGGCCACTGGTCGGGCCTTCATGTGGGGCCTGGTACCCCAGCCAGCAGTTGGTGTCAGCTGGCATCAACGTGTGCCACCTCAGCAGCCTGTGCGTGGCACCCCCGCCCCCATGGCCCTCTGACCTCTGCGCTCGCCAGCTGACACCTACTCAAAGGGCCTAAACCATAACTTCCTCCGTCCCAACCTCAAAACGCCGGCTGCCGGAGATGGTCTCCACCATTAACATGGCTCCAAATGATTCCGCTTCTTTCTTCCTCTGGCCGGTGCCTCCTCCGCTCACCAGAGGATGCTGCTCCATCCCTGTTCGTCTCCTGCTTACACGGGGTCTCTCTGGTTCATCTGCTCCCTTGATGACCTTCCCTGCTTGAGCACTGAAGAGATGCTGGATGCTCACTCCAAAAGCACAGCGGGGGGGACTTCCCTGGTGGCGCAGTCATTAAGGATCCGCCTGCCCATGCAGGGGACGCGGGTTCGAGCCCTGGTCCAGGAGGATCCCACATGCCGCGGAGCAACTGAGCCCGTGCGCCACAACAACTGAGCCTGCGCTCTAGAGCCCGCGAGCCACAACTACTGAAACCCGAGCGCCTAGAGCCCGTGCTCTGCAACAAGAGAAGCCACCACAATGAGAAGCCTGCACGCCACAACGAAGAGTAGCCCCTGCTCGCCGCAACTGGAGAAAGCCCACGTGCAGCAATGAAGACCCAACGCAGCCAAAAAATTGTTTTTAATAAATAAATTTATAAAAAAAGCACAGAGGCCACAGGAGTGATTTGGACCCAGCCCTTTCCCTCACACACAGCAGATACACAAACAGCAAACAAGCGTGAGAAGTGCTTGACTAGATGTGTGTGAGAAGCACTGATGGAGTACAGAGGA